ATATAGATATAGATATAGATATAGATATAGATATAGATATAGATATAGATATACTTATACTTATACACATACACATACATACATATGTAAATACACATATATATAACACTTTCGCCATTCATAACTCTTAGGCTAACTGTACCGTATCGTATGCCACCACCATTTGCAAAACGCTGCCTCCGCTTGGCAGACGCCGATTGGCCGTTGTTGGGCTGCATAAACAAAAACTTACCACAGAACGAATGCTGACAGTGTTTGGTTCCTCCCACCCTTGGCCATGCTGGTCGCTAAGACGTCGCAAACTCACCACACACACACACACACAAAGTCCTCACACTCTTGCTCCCTCCCACCCAGATGGCAAACGCTGAAATCCACCACGCAACCAATGCACACACTCTTGCTCCCTCTCACCCTCTCGCCCATAACTCTTGCTCTCTTGCTCGCTCTCCCACTCCCTCCGCTCTAGCTTGCCTTGTTCCTCTTACCTGTGTCAGTTCCGGCAGCGGCGATGCGCTGCTTGCCAACGTTCGCACCACCGTCGCCTCTGTGCCTTTGCGTGCATGTGTGCGTGCCTGTGCCTGTGTGTGTGTGTGCGCAAATTGCCGCAGGGTGACTGCCGTCGCATATCTGCGCATTTGCATAAGACCCTGATGGAAACGCATTCTCGTTAAGCTGATCGAATTCCGCAATCAATGAAAAGATCTCGCTCAAAACTTGAGGCTCTATAAAGAGTGGAATGTAGAAGTAACATAAAGTGAGAATACCATACATACATCTATCATAATTAATATCATATACAATCAAATTATTATTATTATTACTTATATCTCCTCTTAGTCTTTTCTTAGACAAAACTTTCCGTCGCACTCAAATATTCACTATATACATAAAGATGCATGAATGCATCTAATTATCTAATTATTATCTAATCGATTATTTTTATTTATTATCCATACATTCATATAGAATTATCTATTTTTCTATTCACCTTCTTTCTATACATACATATATCAGTTAACTTTATTATTGATACGTAGAGCTATCTATATATGTACATATATATTATCTATTATCTTATATCTATTATTTATGCATGCATATAGGGTTACCTATATGACTTATCTATCGCCTTCATCACAGTAAACTCACAAAGTAAAGTTTAAATCTCCATAAAGTCTAGTAAAGTAAAGTAAAGTTATGTATCTATAACCAAGTCAAAACATCGATTAATATCGATATATTGATAAGCAAAAGAAAGGCAGAAAAACAACAATAAATGAGGTATGTCGGTTCTCGTATCTGGCAAAAATCAATAATGCCAAAATTATCATTCTCAATACACATAGAACAAATATACTTATGTATATGTTAGTAAGTGCATATAAACATATATAATCTCATTCATAAAGTTTAATAGAAAAACCCACACAATAAACTGTAATCTATACAAGTATTATTTTCGTACACTATAAAAGATAAAGAAACAAAAAAAAAAACAAAGGCACACAAAAAAAATGGATTCGAATTTGCATACATATTTGCAGGCCAATTGAGCAGGTTGTTCCCAGCTCTAAAATTTGAAACAGTTTTGGTTTACGACGCACCCGAGCGCTGTTAAAGTCAATATGTTTATGACCGCGGCCGGGTTTACTTTGTCAATATGTGCATAGGTCGAGCTGTCTGTCTGCTTCCAGGTATAAAGGCAAAGGAAACTGCATACTCATAAACTCATTTACGATGGTCTAATTTACCTGCCTGTCGGTCTCACCCTTGGCTGTGGTCTTGCTGGGACTGAAGTACGTCGAAGGTTGAGTTAAAACCCGATTAGCTAAGATCCGGCAGAGCTGTCAACGAAATCCATTGTGAATTTCTAAAAATTGCTATACATTTCAAAATAATAATCTTTTATTTTTTTTACCATCTAAATTTATATAAATAAATTTTTGTATTGAAATGTTTATTTCACAATTTTGATAAGCTCATCTCTAGCATGTGATCGCGAGCTGATTGCAGCCATGTTGTATGACACACATGCTTGACAGTTGTTCATCAGCTGCGACTGCAATGAGCGCAGCCAATAAAGTTTTATCTATGGCTTTCTCTCTTTCACTCATCTGCATTCGCGCGGCATTACAAAATCAAGTGACGTCGGTACCTGTCGCTCGCGCATGCAGGCCGATCTCAAAAAGCTCTAAAGCTCTTGACCTTACCGCTTTTTCACACGATTGTTTTTGTTTACATTTGCTCCGGTCGTCTTTCAGATGCCCTGTCTTGTTTGATTACGTCGAAGAGTTTGTATGGCTTTGCAAGCATATGTGTGTGTTTATTATCTCGGATATACATACATATGTACATATGTATATACATACATACACATAGAAGCTGATAAGCAAACATTTTTAGACAAATTGTCCATATTGTTTGTATGTATGTGCATAAATATATATGTATATGTATGCAGCACAGTAACAATAATAATAATAATAATTCAATAAGTTTAATATTTATATGTATACACATTCATTTATATAATATTCATAATATCAGCTGTCGTCCACGCGCCATTCACGCACTTGAGAGCAAAACGAGAGAGAAAGAGAGACACGCACACATACACAGAGAGCCACCGCTCCAACCATTTGCATAGTCTTTCAATAAATCGTTGTGGAAAAAACCGCAAAGAGGACAACTCAAAAAACAAGAACAGCACGATATAGCACCAAACTAACTCGTATACATAATTAGTTACTTATATTTATACTTATACTTATACATTAATGCACCTACACTTTGTTTGTTCTTCTCTTTTCGTATTTGTTCGTCCAGTCGCACAATGGTAGGCGCGCAACCAAAACAAAACTAAAACGAAATCACAAACGACAACCGCTAAAATAAGCGTGAGCGGCGCATAAAAAATAAAACGCAAAAGAAAAAGTGAGAGAGAGCGCGCGACCGAGAGAGAGAAAGAGAAGAGGAACAGCCAGAGAGTGAGCGAGCGTGCAAAAGCTATCGAGCGCCACAATAAAAGCTCCCCATTTGCGGCGATCAGCTGTTTGCAAAGCTTTACAAATTCTTTCATGCCTTAATATCGTAGGCATTTTTTTTCTGACTTTTTACCAAAATAATAAATAAAATTTTAATTTCGAAAACAAGCCATAAGACCCAAAAGCCAGTGCTTAACTTTATGTTAGACTTCTTTTTATATAAATTCTAACGTCTAACATGTAAATAAATTTCGAAAATCTATATTTTGTTTATCAATTTTAACTTATGTAAGGCTAAGTGAACTTAACATCAAATAAATGAGCTTAAATTTGAATGAAAACTGAAAATTGTGTAAGTAACTAGTAATTTTATTAAACCCTGATCACATTGAAAATGGAAAATCGAGCCTTAATGGTTTTGTGAAAAGTACGAAAGAAGGAATTATCGCAGAACCCATATAATATATATATTCTTGATCAGGGCGACGAGCTGAGTCGATATAGCCCTGTCCGTCTGTCCGCCCATCCGCTTGGATGTCGAGATCTAAGAAGATAGAAGAGCTAGAGAATTTAAATTTTGCATACATATTCGTGTATGCCAGTATGAGCAGTACGAGTCTATCATATTTCGATAGCTCATCCGATTTATTTTTATCGAGAATAATCGATAAATTGATTTCGTTTTTGAGCTTAATTTGAACACTATTACTCCTGGTGACTTCGGATTTACTGTGTATATATACAGACTAGGCAATTTACAAATTTCGAACACCACGCCCCCCTCACCCCCAATTTGTAAAAAAAAAAACGTATTTTAAGTACTGTGTTTTGGTATATACCCTCAAAGTGAAATAATAAAATATGTGGAAATAATATTTTTATAACATTTATAAATATTTAACTAAAAACTAAATTTTATATATCTTAAATGTATATTTCATTACAATAATAAACGCGCACATTTCTTAAAATTAAGTAATATAATTATTAAATTAAGCAAAATCAAATACGTTTTTTTTTTTTGCTTCCAGAATGTATAATTTAAATATTAAAAAAAAAAAAATTAAATTTAACAAACTACATTAATTTTATAATTTTTAGTTAATTAATCTTTAACTTCATTGATGTTGAAACAAAAATGATGATTTAATTTCAAACAAATAAAATATCTTTAATTTTTAATTTTAGTAAAAATATACATAAATATTACAATAATAATTATTACTAATAATATAATCAAAAAAATTTTTTTTTTATTTTTTATAATAATTTATTTTTTATTAATAATATTTTACTAAATGTATCTGTGACATAACCTCAAAAATAATAACTTGAGTTTATTTGTTAGAAAGGGAGTTAGGTTATAAGAAATATAATTCAAATAAAACAAAATTTGCATAATTTTCCCCCTCCTTTTATTTGAATATGAAATGTCCACCATTTTGTTTGGCATACAAACAAAAAAATATATTTACGACTGCAAAAAGTACTCACATTCACATTTACACTTATGAACATATACATATGTATGTACATACACTAAGCTTTATTTACGATTGGAATAGTTAAATAGAATAATATATTTAACAAGAATTTCAATGGCACATACATATGTAGATTGATACAATAGAACTGTTATACGCGCTGGCTGACCATGTTGAGACTGAACTCACCACGGCAACGCCCATTCACTTGGCAGCCCACCACCAGCAGGCGACACGCGACGTACCTATAGCCATCTCATTCGTTCCTTTGCACCAAGCTCTATTGCTGTCGCTGTTTCGCCTTGGCAAGAGTTGTTGCTCTGGCCGCAACACAGCACCCACCCCCAAAGCGAACAAAATTTAAAAAAGGCAGCAAGTAGCGCGCCCATTTTTCGCCGTCGGCATTTTGTATTGGACGCAGTCGCGATACCAACTGCAATTAGACAACGACAGTTAAATCAAAATGGCGGCACGCTTCTATTTTTTAACAGTTGTTCACGCCATCGATTGTTCAATTGTTGTTGTGCCATGTCGTAACAGTCAACGAATGAGAATTCAAACGAAAGAAAAATGAGAGCATTCAATTATACATGAATACTATATGAATGTATATGTGCATATGTATATGCTAAATAAATATATATGTATGTATGTCTGTTAAACAAATAAATATTTACTGATATTAACAGTAGGAAAATCTTTGTATTATATTTCGATATTTTTGTAAATATTTGTATTATTAAAATCGTGTATCTGGGGTTAAGTTTATTCATAATTTATTAATCACGAAAACGCAAATAGCTATGGTAAAATATTTGTTCAATATTTTCAATTGTTTTGTTAGTGTTACGACTCAAAATATGTATGATTTAATGTTATTATATGAAAATTTATATGAAATGATAATGATGGCATATATACATACATATTCTTATATCCCGTTTTAATACTTCCATAGTGGGCTGATTTTCAATGTACCTCCAAAAATACATAATTACATTAAATAAGTAACTGGATTTTTTAAATATTTTATGTATTCTATAGTTAACAAAATTATTGCTTTCTCCTACGGAAAAATTACCTTTCTCTTCATTTAATGACTTGTGTACGGTACTTTTTATGTTCAGAGCTGTATATACATATACATTCATGTATGTACAGCTGTATATATGTGTATATCCATTTTTTATACACTTCTCATTGTACTGAGTATATTCTTGGTAAATATGTTTGCCCATTTATCAATTATCGATATTTATCGGTATTTGACAACACACCTTGATTCAACTCAGACGCTTTAAAAGTAAGAATCAGCCAAGTTTTTCATTCTTTCGCTTAGCATAAGCTAAACAGACCCATTCTAAGATATTTTTCTAGTTGTTAACTATGGAATTTGTTTCAATTAAATTTATTGAAATATAATTAAGTTAACAATGCCATCAAAATGTTCTTAAATTTTTTTTTCGACATCGCTTCATTGTCACACAAGTAGAAATGATATAGTCGGACATATGCGGATAGGAAATACCTGCAGCACCAAAGGAATTCGAGGGACATACAAAAACTAAAAGACTAGATAGTATTTTTTAGACTTTATAAGAAAACAAAATTCGATTCTGTTCGCAATTCAAAATGTTATCGATGATTTGCATTTATATCGATAAACCTTAGCAAGATTAGAGGATATATATACATACATACATGCATACATACATATTTAAATACATTATATAGACATATAAATTTATAGAATTCTATTTGGCATCAGCCACGCCTACTCTCCATAATTAACAAAAATCCTTCAGTACATCAAAACATATGCAGAGATTCGGGTCTACGACATGAACTGAAATTTTCCATATGCATCAATTCAGGATATACCGTTATATCATATATGTACATAAGGATATATATATGTAAAGGATACAATTTATAAGAGTTTTTGGAAGTTTTATTGTACATATAAGTATTTACTTATCCTAAGTTCATCTTCTACTCGATTGCAAAGATCTTACGAGCTATGTATATTTTATGTGGATTATATATATAACCATGTAGCTACCTAGTGATACATTTATTTTCTACATTCTTCCCTACATTCTACATTCATTATAAGATTTCTAGGTTTTCATCTAATAGATTTTCACCCACTTCTTTTCATATACATATTAACTTTTCATTTGCTTGATAACCATATACTGGGCGGTCATTTACTAGATTTCCAGCTTCCTAAATATACATACAGTCGTTATAACCATATAAGTTTGTCTGGGGATCAGAACTTTCGTCGCAATAACCTTACGGGCGTTATAAGCGGAGGCATTATAGCCCAATTTTACTATATATACGTAACCTTCCATATATTTGGCATCCCACATTTCTCTTCACAGGAATTCAATAAACCTAAACATCTATCTAATCAGTCTCGAACTATTAAGTTTACCTTTACTAGATTTCCATGTTTCTAGGATCCCTAATTTTGGGTATCCATGAGCTATGTTTCCATAATAATCACTCAATAAGCTCTAATCTAGAGGTATTCGATTCCCACACACTAATTTTCATGTAGACTTCTTATTCTTGATTCTTGGTCTTATATACATATGTACATAAGTATCCCACATATGACGTTTTCTGTTTCTAGGCTTCCATACTCTACTAATGGGTTTCTACCTTTACAGCTTGATTTTATTTTATGCCCCTGCTCTGGAATTCCATAAACAGCGTTTCCAAATCTGAAGTATTTTCACATATTATACATATACTCGATTCCCCAATTTCTATATACCAATTGTCCACATTCACATCTTACCCTAAAATAATCTTATCTTAACATCAACTTAACAATATATATATATATCTATATATAGTCTTTATATCAGTCCAACGAATTAGCTGTCGATCAAAGTACAGTCCCCAAATAGAACTTTACTTGCAGGTGTCAAAAATGTATAGAGATAAGATTGATTAGATAAGATTAATTAGAAACGTTCTTAAAATGGTTTGAAATGTGAAATATAAGGATTAAAAAGGATTTTATGAAATCTTAATGTGATAGATAGACGATAAGAAGAAGATAAGTCGAAGCAGCAGAAGTGAAGAAGCTGTATTATCTATTCAACCGAATTTCAGTACTATGAAAATTCCTTTCATTTTTTCAAATCACGTCTAAAACTCCATAAAAACGTCAAGAAATCCATTTTTTTAGTAAACTTACTTCAGAACATTTTGAAAAACTTCGAAAATGCGTGAAAAGCAATATTTTGTGATAGGATTAGTTTATCAATAGCATTTTCATTTAAGAAAAATATATTTTTACTTAAATCTCTTTTAAAAGTTTCGATAGAAACTCAAGAACTTCAAGATTAGTTTAACAACTTTTTCTCTCTTCAGATTTCGTAGCAGATTTACCTGT